CCTCTGTTGTGTCAGGAATGCCCTGTTGGTACTTACAAGAACGTTGAAGGCTCTGAGGAAAGTCTCTGCACACCTTGCCCACCTGAGCGTCTTCCAAGTCGTGCAAAATTTGTTTATGTACGAGGTATTTTTTATGTTGAAGTCTCTCTTCTCGCTCCCGACAGTGGTCTTATGTTTGTTGTTATTGGTATCTCTTCTGACTTGAGGATCTTGAATCTGCAGGAGGAGTTAGTGAACCTGTTTGTCCCTACAAATGCGTGTCTGACAAATACAGGATGCCGAACTGCTATACACCTCTAGAAGATCTTATATATGCATTTGGAGGCCCGTGGCCCTTCACTCTTCTTCTGTCTTGTGTGGTGGTTATCCTGGGTCTATTGCTAAGTGTGTTGAGTATCAAATTGCTCAGATTAAGTTTCTATGGTGTCAATTCCATTGAACACCGTAGTTCTCATTGTTTACCCCATCTTCTCTCATTATCTGAGGTATCTCATTGCTCAGATTAATTTCTTCCAATCATGCCTTTGCTAATCACAAATTTCTTCCACTATCTGTTTGCTGAACTTTTTTTTTGGTGTATTTTTTTGTTATTCTAGGTGCAAGGTGCAAGAGCAGATGAGACGCAAACCCATGCTTATCGTTTATACTTCATGGGGCCAAACATTTTCAGAGAACCCTGGCATCTTCCCTACTCTCCTCCTGATTCAATCATTGAGATAGTGTAAGAAAATAGCCCTACGGGGTAAACTAGCAACGGGGATTTCAATGAGTTTTTAAAAGATCTGGTTGAATAAAAAGCCACCGGCAAGAATAAATAATCTTTAGCTGTTCTAGTTCCTTCATGTAACTTCTGATGATAAATTTACTTTTTCTCTTGCAACAGTTTTCGAAATTAGATAGTACCTATTCTGTTACTCCAGAACTATGTTTTTTAAATCGACTCCATAACCTGCAATGTGTGTTTGGCCTTTGACTTGTTTCCATTCACTCAATACATCCGCTAATGACCCATGCTTTATCTCATATGCAGGTATGAAGACGCTTTTAACAGATTTATTGATGAGATCAATTCTATCGCTGCGTATGACTGGTGGGAGGGGTCTGTACACAGCATTTTGTCAGTTCTTGCAAACCCTTGTGCCTGGTCCTGGAAGCAGTGGCGTCGGAGGAAAAAAATCCATCGACTTCAGGAATATGTAAAATCTGAATATGACCACTCTTGCCTCCGATCATGTAGATCTAGAGCTCTTTATAAAGGCATGAAGGTTCGAGTTTTTGTTTATTATACCAACTACTTCTGCCCTTCGTGCTCTTATACTTGGCCATATCAAGCAAATTTGCTTGTTTCCTCACAATCTCTCAGATTTTACTGTCCGTTTTCTTCTCATGTCCTGATGATGGTGCAAATCGTTGAAGCAGGTCGGAGCCACACAAGACCTGATGGTCGCGTACATAGATTTCTTTCTCGGTGGTGACGAGAAGCGCGTAGACATGGTATCTATCATACAGAAAAGATTCCCGATGTGCATACTCTTCGGAGGAGATGGTAGCTATATGTCCCCCTACAGCCTTCATAGTGATACACTACTAACAAATCTTCTCGGCCAGGTTAGCTTATTTCTCGCTCTCCATTAGTTTCTAATTTTTCACTCTGAAACGACCTAATGATGACTCTGCATCTTAATTCAGCACATTCCACCAAGTGTCTGGCACCGTTTTGTTGCTGGTTTAAATGCCCAATTAAGGACTGTGAGGCACGGATCCATCCGTTCAGCCTTGCTCCCTGTCATTAGCTGGATAAACAGCCATGCAAATCCTCAACTTGAATTCCATGGAGTAAGAATTGAACTAGGATGGTTTCAAGCGACAGCTTCTGGTTATTACCAGCTTGGTATCTTGGTTTTCGTTGGCGATTATCCACTGAACACTGTTGGTCAATCAGATTCATTCAGCAGAAGCTATGATGAATTCACTCGGTAAATCTCGAAACAATGGGTCTCAATAAGGCAATTTACTGGTCATCATTAGTGCAAAAGGTTTATATGCTGATCTGGTTAAATCATAATCCCATTTTCTAGGAACAACGCTTCATATCCCTACAAAACTCTTACGCAGCTGCAGCAAAACTTGATCCAACCAGGACATGGATTATCTCGGAAGAGAATCACCGGTGGAATCAATGGGGGTCTCATTAGTGAGGTGACGCTAAAATCGTTGGAATACAAAAGGGATTTCCTCTTTCCATTTTCCCTCTTGTTGAACAATACTCGACCAGTTGGTCGTCAGGTCGGCTCTTTTCTTCTAGTCCTGAAGAACTGTTTCTCTTGGTTTTGTCATCATTTCATACTTCAATGTTAAGATAAAGAAAATTTTGTATTTTGCAGGGTACCCTTCTGCGTTTGATTTCCATCCTTCTTCTTGCGGATCTATCGGTTACCCTCCTCGCATTGCTTCAGTTCTATTGGCTTTCCCTTGGGGCCTTTCTCGCTGTTCTCCTTATTCTTCCTCTATCCATGATTTGTCCATTTCCGGCTGGTCTTAACGCTTTATTCAGCAGAGAAATGAGAAGAGCCTCACTTACTCGTATCTACGCCCTGTGGAATGCGACGTCTCTGACAAACGTTGTAAGTGATGCAAATCGTTGACCAAGTAAAAACAGCTTTTTTTTTTCCCTTCTCGCTCACTCAACAATATATGCAGATTGTTGCTTTCATCTGCGGTGTCATCCATTATGGATTTTTCTCTAAGCAGCCAAATGATAAGGCAAATATCTGGAACGCCTTAAGGTGAGAGCTCTTATTCTCTGTTTTTACACCTCTCGTAGTTTCTAGAAAATCCGCAATAATTCTGATCCAAGTTTCTTCCATTTCATTGGGGCTGCTTTGTATTATTCTGTGCATAAATTATCTGTTGGATGAAACACATCACATAATTCGAGAGTAGAGAGAGATGGCACCAGCAGATAGGAGAACGTTGAACTCTCTTGTTTTTGTGTTATGCAGGGATGATGACAAGTGGTGGATGTTGCCAACAGTCCTCGTAGTAATCAAGTCAGTACAAGCTCGGTTCATAGACTGGCATGTCGCTAATCTTGAAGTGTCGGACTTTTCCCTTCTTTGTCCCGATCCAGACACCTTCTGGGCATACGAATCGGGTGCTTGACGCACCGAATCTTGCCAAAGGTCATACCATCTTTTGTTTTTCTTGTGTTACATTTTTGTACAAATTCACAGCGACTCTTAGAACATCTCAGGTATAGTTGTAGAGAGCGCAACTGATATATTATAATGTTTAGGGTTTCTTTTTGTTGAACTCTGGACACGATGGTTCATGTATTCGATGACCAATGCAAAATCTTGGAAAAAGTCTGAAACTTGCCAAAACTATAGCGAGTGCATAAGAGTGAGTAGAAACATGTTTGATAAGAAAAATACGTGTCTCTCTGAGAGAGCAAGAAGCCCACCCCGCCTTCCTCTTCCTTCGGTCGGTAATTGGTACTGCCAGGCTGCTCGTTCAGTTACACACTGCCAGCACCAGAGGCCAAAACGTGGGGAGGAATTCATTTTGTCACTTCGTATATGTTTTAAAACAGCTTTTCCTTCGCATCGTTTTTCCATTAGTTTCAAAGTAAAAAAAGTCCGCATTTGTAAAGGACATGCCTTTGCGCACCAGAGAAATTATCTGAAAACGACGTCGTCGTACATTGCGTGCGCTGATACAGAGACTACTGGGGCCTAACCTAACGACCCCACAAGAAACGAAGCTAACAGCTCTGTTTGTAAAATAAAATTAGACATCCATAACAACAGAATCGATTAATAATTATATGCCCATTCACGAGCATTGTGTATACACAGCTTTGATTCGTAGAATAGGTACAGAGAGAGAGAGAGAGAGGGAGAAAGCTGACCAATTCAAGGGGCTGTGAGAGGTGACGCCAAGGGCAGCCTCCCTCAAACGCATTCTTTGTTTTGCTTTGGTCGTCGTGTTATAATTTGGAGAGGTGACGCCAAGGGCAGCCTCCCTCAAACGCATTCTCAAGCACATCCTCCATTCGTTTCGCCAGTATTACCTGCAAGCCTCACCACAACAACAGGGGATGGTGATAGGAACGCCCGGGAGCAAGGATGAAGTCCACCTACTCACAAACTGCTTCAAAACTTTAAAATCATTTTATTACTATTAGAACTTTACCTCCACACTTGAGATTACAGCTGCGGGCACTTCAACCAAGTCTTTCAAGTTCCTCTCCGGCAGAATCACCCTCTTGATTCCATATCTGTGCGCTGCTAGTATCTGCGCAACCGTAACACCCCCAACAAAATATTATTAACAAAAGGAAATTCAATCTCTTTGCCTTTCAGATGAAGGTACTATCGTCCAGCTCCTCTTCCTCATCCTATTTTTACCATGCCTCCAGTACCCCAAGACAAACATAAACTTTATTACTATACTCCTTATTCAGAGCCTAAGCCAGGTTTCTACAAGTATCTTACCTTATCTTTGATACCTCCAACGGGCAGAACAAGACCCCTGAGCGTTATCTCCCCGGTCATGGCTGTATCTCCTCTCACTCGTTTCTGGCTGAGCAATGAAACCAGAGCCGTTACCAGAGTCACTCCAGCTGAAGGCCCATCTTTCGGCACTGCACCAGCTGGGAAGTGAATGTGGATGTCCCTTCCTTCTAGAACATTCATGTCCCCAGAGACTGCCAACTTGAAATCCGTCGCACGTGCTCTCACCTATAATACATCAAGAGATTTATCAACTATAATACTTTCCAATGTAGACCATGAGATTTAGCAGTTGGTGTTAACTTCGTGTCATCCTGAAAGCAAAAGGAGTTCAGAAACTTCTCAAATGGCAACACTTAATTTTTCTGTTGCGACTTGGCAAAGGACTCAACAGTTGTGACTAATAAACTGCTTGGTGGTACTACTCTTTTTTGCAGTAGCAACAGAACGATATTTAAATAAAGAACAAATTTTTAGGTTATGAAATCAGAAGTTTTCAGCTTTTGTTTTCTGCGTTTAAAGAAGATTATCCCTTTTCATGTTTACAAGAAAATCAAATAAAAGCAAATGCATAAGCTCGTAATATAAAGCTCCTTCAACTTTTCTGTCCTTTAGTTTTCACCCGACACGTGCTCTGGGGGCTAACGCAAGCACAAGAGATATGAGTTACGAGTTCTTGCCGAAGCCTAACCACAGGACTTACACTTCACAAATATAGGATAGTGATGTAACTCTGGGGGCTAACACATGAAAAAGCGAGAATTGGAGAGATGTTTACCCATGTGAGAGCTAGTTGAGCTGATTCTTTGATGACATCTCCAAGTTGGCCTGTCAGATGCAAATCACCCTTGCCCACCATAGATGTAGCCTCAACAAACTGGACCTCCCCACCAAAAGTAGTCCAAACAAGCCCCACAGATACACCAGGTGTTGCCACCCGATCAGCAGCTTCTGTGTCGTCAAACCTTGGAGGCTGCAGTGCAGCACAGACAGTGTGTTGCAGGATGATATGAGGTTTGTATCACGGTAAGTAAACAACCTACTCAGGCTTTATAATCACGTTAAAGTTATATAAACGCAATGTTCATGACTCAATCTAACTGAGGCAAATTGGGTTTCATAGGCATTCAAGACAAAGGGCTCATCCCCCAAGGAAAAAACTGAGAAGAGTCTTACCCCGAGGATTTTTTCAAGCATGGACTCGTCCACCACCAAAGCTGAGGAACTCTGGAAGGTACTTGATATTTCATGCTTATTTACACCCAGCGGAATGATTTCCATTTCCACTTCACCTCCCTCAGCCACTCTGTCATTAAGCAGAGGAGAGGCAAGTTTCTGCACGTCTTTGCTCAACGGAAGAGTTTGCTCATTTTCTGCAACCATCACAGCTGCTGCACGAGCCAATGCAGCTAAATTCCTTTCTAGATTGCGGACACCAGCTTCCCTAGTGTACCTCTGAATTATAAGCTTCACCATAGCCTATAACAAACCATTGGAGAAGAAAATAAACTGCATAAGCCACATGAGCGACAATCCTTGCAAATATATCATACTTCTTGAAATAACGGTACCTCCGGAATCTTAAGGAACTCAGAATTCAGCCCATGCTGTTCCAGAACTCGAGGAATCAAATGTCGCATGGCAATCTTCAGTTTTTCTTCTTGTGTGTAACCTGGCAACTCAATTAGCTCCATCCTGTCTAAAAGAGGAGGTGGAATTGGCTGAACCCTATTCGCCGTGGCCACAAAAATCACCTTTGATAAGTCAAACGGCACATTAAGATAGCTATTGTCTCAGTTAAGGGACTTTGCTAATACCATGAGGTAGCTACAGAATATAGAGCAGTATACAAAAAACCCAGTGACACCTTCACATCAAAATGAAAGAAGGTGTACACATGAGAGTAGATAAAAAGTAAATTTGAAGATCTAAAAATCAAGAAATTTGCAACAGCACACTTGAGAAGTTGGTACTTGGATCTAAATGAGAAATCATCAAATAATTTTTACATAAAGACAACACAAATAGGATACTGATCATTAAAAGATTTGTTTTGCTCTGGGTCCAAAACCTCCAGCAGGGCAGATGCTGGATCACCCCGGACATCAGAACCTGTTTTGTCAATCTCATCCAATAGCATAACTGGATTGCAGACGCCAACCCTCTAATGTCCACAACATAAAACGGATAACTTAGTCACAAGAAATAAAGAAAATCATCAAGAAAGAGGGTAATTAAAGATCACATCCACTTATCACAGGCATGTACGAAGCAGATTAGCAGCTGATAGTCCAGGAAGGCTAGTTAGCACTAACCATCATCAAGAACATACTTATCAAGTGACAGATAAGGCTCATACTCACTGTTTAAAGCTGACAACTCTTCATAAAAAAGTTCCCAAGTTTCTTTTTTATGTGTAAGTTATTGTTGAACAGCTGTCGATCTTATCCCTCAGGAAAGAGACTAACCTTCAATCCATCAATGAGGCGCCCTGGCATACTTCCTATGTAGGTTCTCCTGTGTCCTCTAATGTCAGCCTCATCCTTCACACCGCCCAAAGATATGCGGATAAATTTCCTGCCCAAAGCAGCCGCTATAGAAGATGCCAAAGATGTCTTCCCCACACCTGGGGGGCCAACAAAGCACAAAACGGGGCCTCTTGCATCTGGTTTCAGCTGTAATTGATAAGTTTCAATCAAGACAACATGAAGCAACCAACCTAAAGTGCAGTCACTCTAAAATACAAAAAAGGACCTCAACCTTTCGAACAGCCAGATATTCAATGATCCGTTGCTTGACCTTTGCTAAACCATAGTGATCACTGTCAAGACGTTCTTTTGCTGCTTTTAGATCCAACTCACGTTCTTCGCTTGCCTTTTCCCAGGGAAGATCAGCCAACAGCTCCAGGTAAACGCGTGAACTGTTATATCCAGGTTGCTGAGGTTGCATCTTCTTAAGCCTCCTGCATCAGAAAATGAGAAAGAATATAATTAACGAGCAAAAGCATGACAGAAGCTACTTTCCCCCTTTTCATCAAATTCAGGCCTACAATGCTACAGTTCAACTAAAGGTCATTACTATGAACACGAATTTTCATCTGTCAGCTCTGTGCCTCCACTGCCACAACTATGGCAAATGTGCAGTAAACCGTAGAACATACCTCAATTCCCTTTGAGCATGCTTCCATATGTTTGAAGGCATTCTTGTTAAGGGAAAAACAAAAGCCCTAGGTGAAAAAGGACAAAATTAAATCAACAAAGAATAATTTATTGTCAGATATCAAAACGACCTCCATATTCATCAATAATTACACTTCAGGCACAAACCTTTTATAGAGATCAGATACACCCCTACTTCACCGAGCTCCTCCTTTATAGCCCTCATCTGCGATACAGCTCAAGGTAATAAAACAGTAATACGTCATTCAAATGAAAGAAAAGTCTGCTCAGTCTGCAGTGGTTTCCATGTGAAGTATGTCCGCCATGCCACAAAAAAACAACCTGCTGACGCAAAAGATATTCCTTCTGTGATTTCGACAACTGCCCCTCCACCTTTTGCGTTATCTTCTCTGCCACGCGAATCGACTGTCACATGCAATCATCAAGATGACTCCATAAATGCCTAAAGAAAGCACACGCCAGAATTATAAGATTATCATTAGCTACCTGCAAATGGCGGTCAACTAGCTCAGTAGCCTTTGAAAGTCTTATTTTAAGGTCCACCGAGTCCAACATAGACAACTGTTCTTCAAAACTCATCTCAAAACTTGCAACAAATATGTCTGCTAGTTTATGAATAGGAACAGTGTCCAAAAGAACTTTCGTCCTTCCACCAGTTTTTTGCTTCTGAAACAATGATCAATCAGTAATACATTACTAGAATTTCAGGAAGTAGATGTCATCAGATCATGAGTATTATCAGATAGATATCATACAGCTTCAATGAAAATTATTCAAACATCTAAAGTGACAAGACAACCAGTGAATCTAGAAGAGAACCTAAATGCGAAAGCCTTTTCAGATACACTAACGGACCTGCTCAAGCACAGAGACCAGCTCCATAGCAGTTGCCTTGAACTGACGAGACAGTGCTACAAAGTCTGGATCTTGTTCCACTTGCTCCAATTCTGAACATGACCAGGAAAGGGCAACCAGCTGAGGAAATCAATGGATCAGAATGCAAAAGAAAGTTAAATGCTGATAACCCTACCTTAAATGAGCCAAAAATGTTTAATCTCCATTGACTTCTAACCTCATACCTTTCTTTGACACTGACTCTTTAGATATGAAATACAGACGCCTTTAACATGTAGACAATTAAAGAGATAAAAGTCTTGGTGAAGTCAAGGAGGCTGGTACTCGTTAGACAAACCAGACTCTATGTTTGATGATTACTCCTAGGTCAAAAAATAGAACACAAAAGAACAGTGTGGACCCCTTCCTCTTTCAAAAAAAAAAAATTATGATACTCAGCATGGAGAAAATTTTGGATCAAGCTATTCTCAGATGAAGATGATCCAACTTACCTGTATTTGTCATATCAAGCGAAGTAATTTTAGCGACTGAATATGGTCCTCTTTTGCCAAGCTCATGAACACTAAATCGGCTCAGGCCTTCAAGGACAACCACATATGTAACTCTTCCGCTCGGTTTTTCTACCCCTCTTGAAAGATGCAGAGCACGAGCTGCTACTCCCCTGAAAAGTGGGAAACGAAAAGATTGCTTAGCATTAGCCAAGAGCCATCCCTAGATTGAATCAGAACACAAATAGGTCTAGGAGTGCTTCAGAACTTCTTGAAATAGAGTTGTTAGTAGCAGTTTACCAAAAAAGAATAGACAGAGAGCTTCAAAGTTAGATTATACCTGTGATGCCAGTGAACTTCC